TGCCTCCAAGACGAGTATCGTTTTTTAAATCCCCAGAAGACAATTCTATTGTAATAAGAGAATAAAAAACAAACCAGGTTATGCTTGAGGGTAATGGTCAAAAAGACAAGATATCTATAAATTATAGTGGTTTGTACTGTTGGTTGTTTGTTTTTCATTATACAATAAAAACAAATAGCAGTAGAAATCACTATAACATATAAGGCATCTTATATCCTAATTCTGGGGAAAAGGCTGGACATTCATTGACTAAAAATATGAGCCTTCAAGAACTTATGAGAATCACAACAAATAGATGAATGTTTCAGTTGTTGTCCTTTCTCTGCACCCACCTTTCTTCAGTGGTGGGATTGCATGTTCCTGTAAAAAGTAATGAACACAGATGATAATGATATGACAATGCAAACATTAAAATGGTTCAAGGTTTTCCAGTGGTTCCCAACTTTTGGTTCTCCGGTTGTTTTGAACTTCAAACCCCAGCTATCTTATCACGGTTAGGAATTGTGGGAGCTGAAGTCCAAAACACTTGGATGACCAAAGGTTGGGAACCACTGTTCCATACCTTAGCTCAGTCTAGTCAAAATTGAGACTGCAGTAGAAAAACAGAAGAACTCAGAAGGACAGCTATAAACAAGACCCAGAAATGTAAAAATATATAATTGAATACCAAAGCTAAGATGGTCCATGCCATCATATTTCCAATATCTATGTATTATTATAGAGGTTGAATAGTGAAGAAAGCTGATACTAAGAAAGTCTCCTCATGTGAAATATGGAGCTGGAGAAGAGTTCAACAGATACCATGGTCTGCTAAAAAGACAAATAAATGGGTCCCAGAGCAAATTAAACCTGAACTGTCCCTAGAAACCAAGTTAACTAAACTGAAACTGTCACAATTTGGACATATTATGAGAAGGCATGACTCTTTAGGAAAGACAATAACTCTTAGTAAGATAGGAGTAGAAAAAAAGGAAGACAACTTTCTAGATAAATAGATTCCATCATGAGAGTCAGAGTTTGTAATACCCGAGCATGGCTACTGATGATAAGGTGACTTGGGAGTCTCTCCTTCATAGAGTTACCATAAATTGAAGGTGACCTGATGGCATTTTAACAACAACAACAACAAATTTCTGCAAAACTGGGTTGGAAGGCAGAGAAAAGGACCCATGAATCAGTTAGTGTGTTAAAACCAATTTGCAATCAACTCCATATCTATAATAGAAATAATGTATCAATCATACACTGAGTGTTAGTTTACTTTATGTCATAATCATTGGACTATGGTATTCTGTTAGACTTTGGATTAGAAGGTAGTACGCTACTGATGAATTCAGGGACAGAGAATAACAACACATGCGAACACACCACAATACCTATGAAAAATGTACCCAAGCCTCACAATGAGATGGTATTTGATAGACATGCTAAACAGAATTTAGGAGTAAAAAATGTAACATTTGCGTGTAAAAGCATGAATTTTAATTACAGTGTACTGAACAACACTTAGACAGTTTAATGCTTGGTTGTTCTTGTTTTTAGTTTTTCCAGGCTTCCATTAGGTGGGTGCTTCTTGGTTTCTGAGTACTTGTCTTTCTCAGTTGTCCAGCTTAAATACCCATGACAAGTATTTTAGGGTATGTGTTGAGAGATGAACATTTAAGGAGATGTTGGGCATGGATCAGCGAGTGAAATAATTCAAATGTAGTTGGTAGAGCAACCATAGAAAATGTCGAGGTTACATAGCAAATACCATACATTTCTTTCCCTTTCCCACATAATTTGTTGCATCTCTTTTAGGATCTTACTGCTCATTGCAAAGCAAGCGGTTTCTCAAAGGGTTAGGCTTGCTAAGAAGAGAATCTGCTCTGAAATACTTTTCACCCGAGTGTCTACGGCTGCACGCTTCTCTCAGTTTCACATCCTAACTTTAAAACTGGCAGATTCCACATCCATTTAATACAGGGATCTGGTGTCTTAATATTTCATGAAAAAGATCAAAGTAGTGAAAGGGTTTTGATCAAAGTAGTGAAAGGGTTATGTGCACTGCAATTTCAAGCAATTCCTAATTTGTGTTTACCAAATGATCAGTGAAATTGTATGCTGAGGAGCCAAAGGGCATGCATTCAAGAAAACATCTGAATGGATTAAGTGCAGCCTTGTAATGCCAGCTGAAAATATGTTAGGTATATACTCTTTAAATATGTGTTGCTTACATTGGTGGTGTTGGGAAGCAGTTACTGTTCTGTAGATCAGGTATGGGAAAACCTAGGCCAGGGGGCCGGATGCAGCCCCTTGGACTCTTTTCTCAGGCCCTCTTCTCTCACACCATCCCAGCCTATCTTCCTTCTCTCCTTCCTTCCTCCTTCCATCCTTCCCTTCCTTCCTTACCTCCCTCTATCTCCTTCCATCCTTCCTTCCCTTCCACTCTTTTGTCTTTCCTTCCCTCCCTCCTTCCCTTTCTCCTTCCTTCCATCCTTCTCCTCCCTCCCTCCCTTCTCTTTTTCCTTCCTCCTTTCCTCCTCGCGGATGTTTAGCTGGGAGAAGAGAAGGTAGAGAGGGAACACTATTTTGTTATGATTGTTTTTGCTATGCTGTGAACTGCATTGAGTCGCCTACGGGCTGAGAAACTGCGGTATACAAGCAAAGTAAATAAATAAATAAACACGAGAACCATGTTTCAAGATTTAAAAGAGTATCCCATTGAAGAGGAGGGGGGAAACTGACTTTCTGCTGCTCGAGAGACCAGGGCACAAGGGAGCAATGGCTTCAAATGGCACGGAAACTGATTTGACTGAAAAGATTAGGAAGAACTTCCTGAGAGTAAGAGCTGTTGGAGAGAGGCATAGGCTGCCTGGGAATGTGATGGAGGCTTTTCAGCAGAGGCTGTCTATTAGGGGTGCTTTGATTGTGCCGTCTTGCATGGCAGGGGGTTGGACTGGATGGCCCTTGGGGGTCTCTTCCAGCTCTAGGATTATATATCAAGAGTAGGCAATATGGGGTCTAATGGATACACTATGTCTCTCCCATCCACAGTCTCATCCTGTCCAAGGCCAAACCTTTTGGGATCCAAACATTTCCTGTCTTTCCTTTACTTTCTGATTCTGAAAGAGAAGAGGAAAGGGAGGAAAGGGCAGAGAGGGGGTTTGGGAAGAACCCCCTCCCGACTCACACACCCACCCTGCTCTGGCCTGCCATGCAACCTCCAAGTTAGAAAGTTTGTCCATGCAAGGAAGAAAGTATTGGTATGTGAGTAAAACTGCACAATGCACATACTGCGAAGAGGACACCATTAATGTTAGCATTTTTCAAATATAGTTTGATGGATGGACACACCATATCTTGGCAAAATGTAAACCCAATTTAGTATACTACTTTGAGCTTTTGGGTATTTTTTAATTAGTTACATGCTCAATCAGTTCCATATTTTTCCACACACTATCTTGTGTTTGGATATTCCTTCTTTTTTCATCATAACCTTTACCAAAAAAAAAGTGTATGATGGGTTCTGAAGACAATCTTATGATCTGTGTTGTAGTAATTGAATCTCTGGTTTGTAACTGTGTCAGATAAATTTTAATTTAGATTTTATTCTGAACTTTATTACAAAAACATCAGGCAAGTTATGGTCTAAGCCAGTGATTCCCAACCTGTGGGTCCCCAGATGTTTTGGCCTTCAACTCCCAGAAATCCTAACAAGTGGTAAACTGACTGGGATTTATGGGAGTTGTAGGCCAAAACACCTGGGGACCCACAAGCTGAGAATCACTGCTCTAAACTAGTATATCTTAGTTTAATCCTATTATGTATAGTTTCTTAGGTTGCCAGAGGTTTATCTAGGAACTCATTGGTTAATCATGGTATTTGCATAATTAAGCAGTTCCCCAAACAGAGATACTAGCTTTGAGTACCTGCATTTTTATTGTTCCTCAGGCTGTAGTTGGTGGGTATCATAAACCATTTCTCTGTTGCTGCTAATAAATAACATGATGGTTGAGCATCAATGAAAACCAAGTTATTTCTGTAAAATTTTAACTAAACAACATACAGCGATATTGTTCTAGAGAACTGCTTTTAATTTCTAGTATGGAATATGGTGAAATTACTACTGCAATATTTAATTAAAACTATTAATTTGGGGTGGGGGTGTTAAAAAGCAGTGTGTCTAAATTCAAATATTGGAAGATACCACCTTTACAGTCCTTACATTAAATTTAGGATTAGATATCCATAGCAGAAGCCTCTAGATATAAAATCACTACAGCAACCTTGCAAGATAAAGCTTCAGAGATCTCCCTTTATATCCTCCTTGTTTAGAATCAGTGTTGCAGTGAGGATTGATCTATTTCTTATTCAGGTTTCTAACCTTGCCATTCCCAAAAAACTTAATTCATTCATGTGGGTAAGCAGGTAAATAAAAATGAGTCTAGCAATCCTTTAAAAGAGGGTGTTTGTTAGAATAGCCTTCAACTTATATGATCTGCAATTTCAGCCTTACTTCTTATCATTGATCTGTGAATATACAATGGACTATAGTGCATGTACACTAAAGTGTGTGCCTACCTGAGATATTTAGATCCTCAAAGGGTGACCTCTGTGATGCAGACTGATGGGAGGAGAGAAAAACAGTTTTTTCAAATAAGTCGGCCTTTGGCTTAACATTGGTTTAATATGTCTACCTTGTTTTGGACCAGCTGAGGTTTCCAGGCAGTCTGCAAAGGCAGGTCTCTATAGAAGTCATTGCAATAATCCAAATGAAGACTGGTGTTGCAGTAGATAAGTATTGTTATATTATGTCCATTTTTTGTTTGTTTACAGATTCCTAAATCTAATTGTAAACTCTATATAGTTTGTAATTGTCTGCCTGTTATTTGGGATAACTCATCTAGCTTATCTATTTGACAAGCAACATTATTTGAGATAGCAAATGTGAACAAAGTAATCTGATAACAGCATTGTATTTGGACAATGCTTTAAATATGTTTTGTTGTCTTTTTCAGATAAATATTTTGGATGCCAAAAGAAGTATGAATATTGGAATATTCCTCAAGCAGTTTAAAAAGTAAGATACCTGGCTGTTAACTGAAATTGTCAAATAAGGTGATGCTATGCTAATAATATAATATAATATATTGTATATACATATAATATTTATAATATTATAATGTAATGCAATATAATACTACTACCAATAATAATATGAAATTATAATTATATATTTATATTACATGTAATATTACTAATAATATTACAATATAATGGTATAGTACAATATAGTAGTATTTAATACTGATATTGTACTATGCTAATTTTATATATATATATATATATATATATATATATATATATATATTCTTGTAAGCCGCTCTGAATCCCCTTTGGGGTGAGAAGGGCAGCATATAAATGTCGCAAATAAATAAATAAATAAATAAATAATATCCCACAGGACTGGAGAAATAGTCATAAGTAGTATAACTGCAAGTCTAACAAAGACTAAAAACAGAGTAGAATTTCTGGGTTCCTTTCACATAGAGTAATTTTGCCTTTCTCAACATTGAACCTGCAGTGACATGCATCTGAATCAATCGCATCTCCTTCTATGAACTGACGTGAACTCTAAGATCTTGTGGGGAGGCCCTCCTTTCACTCCCATCACCGTCACAAGTATGGTTGGTGGGGACAAGAGGGAGGGCCTTCTCAGTGGTGCCCCCCCCGGCCTCTGGAACGCCCTCTCCCGGGAAAATAGACAGGCCCCATCCCTCCCCTCCTTTTGTAAGAGCTTGAAGACCTAGTAATTTCAACAAGCCTTTGAAAATGACCAGTTCTAACTCAGCCCCACACATTGTTTAATACGGCCTTGTTCTTCCTAACAGTTACCCAGATTCTTTCCTCTAATTGGCCCTGGAATGGACAGCCACAGACCCGTACCTAATATTATTGTTGCCTGCCATAGCACTGCACTTAATTCCCGAGCCCTATAGAATTTTTGAGCTTGCACTAATCTTGGCCCGGCCTTTTAAATTGCCTTGAACAGGCAGGATTACTTTTAATATATATGTGTTATGGTGACATTTTTTATGTTTACATTGTTTTGTTAATCCTATGGTTATATTGTTTACTCTGTATGTATTGATGATGTTACTTGGAAACCGCTCTGAGTCCCCTTTGGGAGTTCGAGCGGTATATAAATAAAGTTTTATTATTATTTTATTATAAATTATCTGTCTTAAAGTGAATGGAACCTACATGGAGAGCATCCAGATAGGCTATGTTGCCAGTTAATATTGCTATAGCGCAGTGGTTCTCAACCTGTGGATCACCAGATATTTTGGCCTTCGACTCCCAGAAATCCTAACAGCTGGTCAACTGGCTGGGATTTCTGGGAGTTGTTGGCCAAAATACCAGGGGACCCACAGGTTGAGAACCACATCCTTAGAGGGCAGCCCAGGCTATAAATGCCTGCCTGAGGATGTGAGTGTGCTGGACTGTGTGTCTACCAGAGAGACCTTTAGGTAATCAGTGGGATGTATATATTTTAAAAATTAAATAGAATGAATCTGTCATGGTATATGACACATAATGACTTGCATGCATTTTGGAGGTGAAAGGATGGCAATGTTCTAGTCTATAGAAATAAAAGTTCCCTAGACTGATATGTATTTTGTTTCCCTCCTTGCCAAGATCTTTTGAATCCATAATTGACGATCTCCACTCAGGAAAAAGTGATCTCTACAGCTGTGAAATCCTTCGTGAACTTCTCAAATTACTGCCAGAAACAGAAGAGGTAAGAAGAAAGGGAGTCATGTGGCAACCATCTATAAGATGAGCAGTGACAACCAACTATTATGTATAGCTTTGGCAAATAGTGCTGTATTCTTAGATTTCTGCTATTGGCCAGTATGTAACCTTGTGTTAAAATACAGTGCTTAGCATGGGACTTGCTTTTCTGATGTCATACAATGTGGCATTACTATAGCCTTGCAGCAATGCTAAAACTGACAAGTGGTATTTAGAGAGTCTTGTTGTAAATATTTGTATTAGAGCTATCAATATACATTGGGATGCCTAGTTAATTCTTTCCTGTTGTGTTTTTGAACATCTTCTGAAAACACCTTTTGATTAAGTATTCAGTCCTGCTTAGTAGGTTTGTGGTCTGTGTGGCAAACAGTGGTGAAGGCCAAGAAAAAGACTACACCCATCAGCAGTAGCCAATGGTTTGTAGGTAAACAGAGCAAGAGGGGGAAAAGAAGGTTAGAAAAAAGCTGAGGGAGCATGATGAGCAGAAATGAAGACCAGTCACTTCACTTAAGTGATCCCTTGTAGCTTGATGATGATGGCCTTCCAGATGTGGTATTTTGGCGATGGGTCTGTAGGTGGTTGTGGAATCCTATTCTTGATCCGCATGTTCTCTTGCAGTGAAGACATCAATTTCCAGACAGAAGGTGGTCCCAGACAGGGTTGGCTTGATGCACCTTCCTCTTGGCATGTTTCTCCCTTTCGCCCTCCATTTGTGCCTCTTCAAATTCTGCAGCACTGCTGGTCACAGCTGACCTCCAGTTAGAGCGCTCAATTGACAGGGCTTCCCAGTTCTCTGTGTCTATGCCACAGTTTTTAAGGTTGGCTTTAAGCCCATCTTTAAATCTCTTTTCCTGTCCACCAATATTCCATTTTCCGTTCTTGAGTTCAGAGTAGAACTCTGCTTTTGGAGATGGTGATCAGGCATTCAGACAACGTGGCCGGTCCAGCGGAGTTGATGGCAGAGGAGCATTGCTTCAATGCTGGTGGTCTTTGCTTCTTCCAACATGCTGGCATTTGCCCGCCTGTCCTCCCAAGGATTTTTCAGAGGCAACGCTGATGGAATTATTCCAGGAGTTGCATATGATGTCTGTAGACAGTCCATGTTTCGCAAATGTATAACAGGGTTGGGAGGACAGTGGCTTTATAAACAAGACCAGTAGCAGGCATAAGGATGACATACTGTTCATACTTGTGTACAGATTGACCTTCTGTATAAGTTGATAGGGGAGTTGGAGGCCAAAATTATGGATTTTTATCTGACCCATTTTTTGGCTGATTTTTTGGGTAGTTAAAAGTGTCAGCATACTAACAAATTAAGAAAAAAAAGTAGATAAATAAGCAAACAACAGTGGAAGGTCTTCAGTGTAATGACATAATTGATAAGGAGAATGTTGGCCCTTCATGTAAACATAGCAAAGGATCTTCTCTTCCAAGGAAATATGAATGGAATCCTTACCTATGGCTGGACCATTATAGGTTGCTTGTGTTGGATTGCTTTTTCAGCAAGGCTGCATCAAAATTTCCCCTTCAGACAGGGAAATTGTACCAGATGATCCTGGAATATTTGAATGGTTGGCAAACATATTTGAGGGGGAAGAGTGAGCTCTTTTGGAGAGAGGAAGAGAGCTGGCTGCATGAAGTTCTAGAGATGGGATGAGGCAATCATGAATGGCAGGTCTTTCATTAGATAGATACAGAGCGGATAAAGAGATGGAATCTTTTAAATACCAGTTTAAAGAGAAAGAATGGGTGGAGTTAGAGATGTTGCCATGGTAGCTATTTGGAAACAAGGAAACTAAACATCTCTGATGGGTTGTGTGTGTATTTGAATGCTTTTTATGAGGAAATATCAGCCATAATTCTAATACATAATTTAAGTTGTAAGGGGAAGTAGACAGGGAGAGAGACACAATTTTTTTTCTTAAGGAAAGGAGAAGATAATGGGTCTGAAGGAAGTACAGAATGTGAAAGAATGTGAAGCAAGTATTGAGTGCTACACATTACATATTTATCTGTTATGCTTCATTTCCAAAGGCTTGTTCAAAGGGTTAGGTTTTTACTTTTTTGGGAAAGTCAGAAGAGAGGGGGACGATCTAATATCCCTAGGGAGGGAGTTCCACAGCCAAGGGGCCATCACTGAGAAGGCCCTGTCTCTTGTCCCAGCAAAACGTGCCTGCGAAGAAGGCGGGATCGAGAGCAGGTCCTCCCCAGATGATCTTAAATTCCTAGATGGTTTGTAAGGAGAGATATATTCAGACAGATAAGCTGGGCCAGAACCATTTAGGGCTTTATAGGCTAAAGCCAGCACTTTGCATTGTGCCTGGTAGCAAACTGGCAGCCAGTGGAGCTGGCACAACAGAGGAGTTTATGCTCCCTGAGCGCTGCTCCCGTTAGCAACCTGGCTGCCACCTACTGCAGCATTTGGAGTTCCTGAAACTTTATAATAAAAGCAGTATGTTTTAAAGCACACGTGTCAAACGCAAGGCGTGTCAGCCAAATCTGGACACCCCGCACCATTGTATGCGGCCTGTGAGGGTTTCAATGCCAGGGCAACATAGTTACATTTCTACAGTCAAACAGCCTTTTGAAGGTATCCCTAAGGCTGATGTGGTCTTTGGTGAAATGGGTTCGAATCGTTGAAGTTGATGAGCCACAGCCACCAAATGGGATTGAAAGGGGTGAAGTCCAAAGTCCAGGGAAGAGAGCACAATGCACTCTAGCAGCCAGGAGTGTTTGAATGTCCTTCACATCATGAGTGCCTTCCACCTAACTAGATGTGAATACTCTGACTTGGTCAACATATTCTTACAGAGTAGAAATATTAAAACATTCACAGATTCCTCCCTACCATGAGGTCATTTTTGCTGATGTGTTTATGACTGAGCATGCTAGGAAGTAGTATGCTAACAATCTATGAAGACTGAATATAGAATTGCTCTTAACACATGAAGGCCTGTGCCGCAGTTACGTGCAAACTACATGATTGGATTACTAATAAAACATTTTGACTCTGCTCTTTTTTGTTCAGAGTTTGCTATCTTTTCTAATTCAAAGATATTTCAGAAAGTGAGATAAGTTCAGCTTTGATATCCTTTTGTTTGTACAAAATATTGAAATACTTTATATTCTGGCGCCGTCTACAATAGCTTAGGCCAAATAAAACAGCCACAGACGACAAGGTGCACTTTGTTGCTTTGTTTGCTGTGATAGACTAGCATGGCCCTTGAAAGAATACGTAAATGTTATGGCCTCTCCAGCTCACAGGAGATGGAGGTTTTGAGGGGAGGAAAAGTTTGCTCTCATAATGCATTTAAGAAGCACTCAAAATGCCTCCAATATTCAGCTTGAACCCAATTATTGGGAAGCTTGCATTCTCACCACCCAGGTCCAGTTTCCAGAAAGAGACAGGGATGCGCCCAGGGGCGGCTCAACCCATTACACAAAGTAAGCATTTGCAGTATAGTTGATTTTGCCCAGGGGCACTCTTGAGGTGCTCTTAGGGGAAAATAGACCTTGACATATGCGAGTTGTAGTTACTGGGATGTATAGTTCACCTACAATCAAAGAGCATTCTGAACTCCATCAATGATGGAATTGAACCAGATATGGCACACAGAACTCCCACGACAAACAGAAAATATATATCAGTGATTGGTTGGGGGGGGGGGGGCACCAAAATACTGTTTGCTTACCATTGAAAATTACCTAGGGCCACCTCTGGATGTGCCTGTTCTTTTTTGAAGCACTTGGAGGCGAGACCTGGGGTGATCGACAGGAGGATGGACAGTTCTCATGGTGACTGAATGTGTGTACTCAAGTTTATTCAGCTTCACTTTACTTTGGTTCTGTAACAATGCAATCTGGCATTGATTTAGAATTGAGCAGGTTTCTATGACCTTGGGTTGCTGTGAGTTTTCCAGGCATTGTGGCCATGTTCCAGAAGCATTCTCTCCTGACATTTCACCCACATATATGGCAGGCATCCTCAGAGGTTGACGGGTCTGTTGGAAACTAGGCAAGTGAGATTTATATATCTGTGCAATGTCCAGGGTGGAAGAAAGAACTCTTGAGGCAAGGGTAAACATTGCAGTTGGTCACTTGGGTTAGTACTGACTAGCCTTGCAGCTTCAAAGCCTGGCCTTCTTTAAAAGATGATAGCCCGCACACTTTTAACCAGAGATCATGCTGCTTATTATCCAGAATACCTATCTTGCTATTAATAGCAAATATTTCTTAAGGAAGAATATACTATTTTATGTTCTCCTATCAAGCAATACCTTTGGCCCAGTTAGCTAGGACCAGTTTCTCATATGCCAGTGAAACTGAAAGGAAGTCTTCCAGTGGTCTTGAAATTTGACTTAAAGTGATGCGAAAATGACTCAAAAAGCAGGGATTAATAGTTGTATTTCTTTCTTCCACTGTGTTTCAACCTGCATAACATTTATTACAGCTACAACTGGGAGAACCAGTACAGAGTAGCAATTAAAGTGGTGGACTTGAAAGAAGGAGGTGCACGTTCTAATCTTTCCTTGGTCGTGAAATTTAACCACTGCTACCTTTAGCAAAGCTACCTTGTTTCTTGTGCTCCATCACTTGTACTGCTCACTCTCCTTTGCCTTACTGCATACCCTTGCAATGCACGCAACCCTTGCTCTTTGCATTGCTCCACTGCACATCTGACCTATGGTCCCTCTTCCCTGCCTGACTCTTTCTTCTTCCTACTCCATCTCCTCAGGTCTGTAATCCTTGCAGTGTACCCCCTTGCTTCTCAGTTTGCCGTTCACACCACTTATTCTTCCTTTTCTTCTGACTTCTCATGTTGCATCTCACAAAATGAAGCCACAGTGGGTTTGGGGGGCAATTTGGAGGGGTAAAAAATGGAAGAGGGGATTCGTAGTGTTTGTGAGGCTGCAAAGGCCACATGCAGCACATGAGACACACTTTCCCCACCTACAATTTCCACATGGTCAGCAGTGGTATCTGGGT